GAAATTTACAAACTTTTGTCAAATAGCAAAACAATACAACAATAACAACAGAATCGGAGCACTGATCATTGAAGCAGCACTTCCAGAAGTGATAGCAAAATCCCTTCATTCTGACCCACTTGTCGAGAAACGGACTTTCAGCCCCATGGTTAGACTAAAATTTGTTCCACTTTCTCCCTAGGGCTTAATTGCCAGACTGACTTACCGGTGCCTCCTAGCCTTTGTTCTGCCTCTCACGCTGACATCAGGGAAGCAGTGATGTAGAATAAAGCAGGGTGGGCTAGGTTAGTCCAGTGTTTGTGTCGTTGTGTGGTGTGCGGGGACACTCTGTGATACTCTAGTGAGCTGTAAGCTTTTTTTTTTTTTTTTTTTTTTTTTTTTTTTGTAGGCTTTGTGTCATTTACTTAACGACCAATCTCATTAGCTGCCAGGGTACAATGGGCTGATGCATTTTCTATGTACATACTCTACACAGTGACCCTCAAGGTTGCCGAAGGTCTATTTAATCAGTCAAATGCTGAATATATTTGCAGTAAATCACTAAAAAATAAATAAAAAATATGAGACTACCGAGGTATCTCACAGGCTTAATATTTACTCATACTTATTCACAGGTAATAAAATACATGCATATTTAGCCAAAATGAGAGTGGAGCAGGTGGGGAGAATTGTCTACTTTTCGTTGATGACTTTAATTTTATGAAACTTTCAGAATCAAAAGTATTTTCTCCTAATAAGGAACCCGAGGCTGAAATTTCATTTTTGTCTTAGTTTAATCATATTAAGCATAATAAAAAAAGAATCACTTTCCTGAGCAGTTTCTTCTTGCTCCCAGCCCACCTCTGTCTCAGTCCGACCCCCTGCTCAAACAGTTTCAGAACTGGCAAAGTTGTGTTTCTGCCTCTTTCACTTCAAGGTAAAAACCCTTTTAACTTCTATGAAAAATGAAATGCTGAGAGCCCTCTGAAGGACGACAGCTGTCCATAAGTATCAGGGAGAAGCTCTATTGTCCGGCGTGTCCCTGGGTAAAATGAATACTTTACAGCAGAGGCTGTTCAGCTTGGCTGAAGAGTGTGGGGAGAAGGGGAGGAGGTCACTGGAGATTTCGCACACTAATTTAATCTGGGAAAAGGACAGGCTCTGCATCTCCCCTGAACAGACTGGCAGCAATCTGAGCCCCCACAGAACTATCTCCTTTTGCCTGTGCTCTATTTATTCCTTATCTCTGTTTACCAACCGCTAGGTCCCTTTCATTCACACCACGAGGCCGTTTTCCTACTATCAGTCAGCAGCTGACACTGTGGAAGAGCCTCAAAGGCAAAAAGAAAAAAAAAAAAAAAAGATCAAAACTAAACCAAAGCTGTCTAAACAATGCAACAGTACAAGTAAATGCATAAACCCTGATTCTTAACCCAACCCACAGGGTGCAAACAGAACCTTTATAGTAAATCCAACAAACCTACCACAGTGAGCTATGGGCCACAGAGAAAGAGAAGTCAAAACATCATTCATGAAATCACCATCCAAAAAGAACAGCTAAAATGCACACTGGTTATGAAGTAGCTGTGGTCTTGTGGACACTCTTATCTCTACCACAGATCAATTAACTGGCAACCAGGAAATATTTACCTTGCCAGAAAAGGTGAGCTATACGTTTCTAAGGGAAACCTTGCTCTCCTTATGCTAGTGGTTAAGAATATCTGCCAACATGATCACAAGTTAAAAGGAAATACAGCATACTTTCTAATACCCCATCACACTGAATGTGATTTGAAAGCTCTGGCATCTAAACTCCTTTCTACTTCTATAAAGACACTAAAAAGTCCTATACAACCAGGTCAATTAAATCATATGCCCATGTCTTATACACTTTACCTCTCTATGACAAAGTAGCTAATATTACAAGAGGAAATGGGAAAAGACTACTTCAGGTACAACTTTTTAATCTTTTGAAGCAGGCTTCAGGGTATGACTGAAAACAGAAATTAGACAAAGAATGTTGAGTAGAGAAAGTGACAAAGACAAAACTAATGCTGCCTGACCTCCCAACCCTTGAGAAAATAGGAATTTTGAATGTAAAATGTACTAAATTATTTTGGATATTTCTACAAATGAGATGAGAAGTCTGCCTAATATAAACACGTCATTGAAGGGAGGTAGTCACTTCACTGACACACGTATGTGTAAATATATACGCATGTGTACGTATTAAAAGTATAAGTACTCAGACTGCGTCCCATAGATACATACACAAGGTGAGAAAGCTCATAATTTCTACTGCCTATAGTTCTCTAGAATAAAAACTGAGACTTCAAATTTCCCTGAGTGTTTTTTAGCATTGAAATGCTTGGAAGTGATTGGTTATTATCATAAAAATCAACATCGTATTGACTCAATGACTGTGACCTTTACCCAAAGAGGGAAGACAATGTAGCTCATTATCTAAGATGAGCTACTGGACCACATTTCAGTCTCTGTTTCACCTATAGGCAATGTGAGCAGTGAAATCTTTACTACTTGGATCCTTTTTTCCAAATGAATTAATGAATTAAATTTATCCTTTCACCAGCTGCTCAGCAGCAGATGGAACCATTTCTGAAGCCTTGTTGAATTCAATCCATAAAACTCATTTCCTAGCAGTCCAAAGTTTCTTTTCATGTTTATATACCACTTGGGATTCTGAATTTCATGATGTTAAACTTTCAATTTAACTATTATTTTGCATTTCATATCAAACAATTATGATCTTTTGGATTTCTATAGCAGACATGGAAGGTCACATAAGGACAAGAATTAATTTCAAGAGCAATAAAGTCATGCAAGTCACATTTTTGATATGCTTGTTCACATTGCTGAACTGCTACAGAGGCTATCTGCACTACACTTTCATATTAATTTCATGTCAGAGTTACATGTATGATCATTGTGAATTGTTTATTTACACTTAAATAGTTTGAAGCTGCAAACAAAATCACATGAAATATGAAAGCTTAAACTGTTATTAAGTTGTGCAATTTAGTTATGAGTGACATTGTTACATTATCTGAAAATATATCTACACTTGTCATATGTTTGCTGTACCTACCGGGGTTATTTGTCTAATACAGTATAATCCAAATTTTAAAAATAGAGATGCATTCTATCATGGCTGCCTTTAAGAAGAAAGCTACCTTGGACAGCTCCACATTTCTAGTCTTTCCTAGTAATGTCATTTGTTTCATAGAACCACAAAACTTTAATCCTCGCTGAATGATGTGACAGCAGAACAATAACAGCCACTATTTAAAGCCTCTCCTCTAAACACAGCTAAATCGGAATAAAAAGTTCCAAAGTACTTTAAAGGTTTCAAATACATGCCTCATGCTCTCTTTAAGACACAGTATATCCAAATTTAAAATACAAAAAGCTTTTAAGCTTAAAATGATGCTCCTGTTATAACACAAATATGACTAAAAAAGAGTGAATCACTCTTGTGTACAACAGTGACTTCCGCTAATTTGGCACAAGAAATCTATATTAATCTAATATTGTAGTAAGCCAAGAAGGCCACATAATAATCACCACTGAGTAATTGAATATTTAGAAGAGGGAGCAAAGAGAATACTGGTAATCTTAGGTTACAAGCATAAAAGGACACTGTGCCGGTGATACTTGCAATGAAAAGTGAAAAAGTCATAGAATGTCTAATTTCAATCCTGTTTTAAATTTTGTACTCGATTATTTCCTGTATGTGACTTATTAGTCCTCATCATAAGGGAAACACAAAGAACTACATATAAGCTTTCTTCATCAACATTTTCCTTTTTAATTTGCTAGACTCTGCACTGCTAGTTAGTGCATGAGATGAGTTGGGACAACTTTTTGTGATGATAAGCCACTATTTAAAAAAGTAAACCAAGATTAGAGAAGTTACATTGTATACTTTGCCTATTAGCTGCTTTATTCTTTGGAACTGAAAAAAAAAACAAAGATTACTACAGTCCTTTGGAAACTGATTATTCCCATGTACATCAAAGTAAACATTCTTAACAGGTAATCTGTTGACAACAGAAATATGAAGTAATGTACTGTTCATGAATGTATTTGAAATTTTTCTCTGTCCCTAAGTAATATTTCATTGAAGTGATCCTTCTGTAAAATTTTGTTCAAGGTTAATATTAGGTATCTCTTGTTTAGCCTTTTAATATTACTTTTTAACTTTCTGAGCAGTCTTCTGACATGTCCATCTATCAAAAATGAAGAGTACCATTTTTTTAAGGAGACTGGTCTTATTCAATTCTCTCAATCTCCAAATATTTAGATACAAGATTATATATACTCTACTCATCAATTTAAATATATTGGAGACTGCTCACAAACTTTTTCTCTTATGTATAGCCAATACCAGAACTGTGACTTTTCAGAAAGAATCCATAAAACCTACTTTTGATAATGATTATTCATGTAAGATTGCATTAATAACCATAGCAAAAAATCTTAATTCTAAAGAGACATAAGATTTGAGATCTCACTAGCAATTTTTGTGAGCTCATACATTAGTTCTACTTTACTTTTTTGCAGAGTAGACAATGTATTGTCTCATATCAATATTTCTGTTGTAAATCCACGTATTTCAGGAATGTATATGAACAAAGGCGGTAACTGACGCAGTGTAAATGCAATTGCACTATGACATTTTATTCTGAAATGCTTCTCAAAGCAGATACAATAAGCATGTTTTGGAGGAGAGTGGGAAAGTGTGTGTGGAGAGAGAGAGAGAGAGAGAGAGAGAGAGAGAGAGAGAGAGAGAGAGAGAGAATTTAAAATAATGCCAAATATGCATCACAACAGAAACCATAACAAAAGTTCAAAACAAACAGCAGAAAAATCATGAACACTTCAACCTTTAGTACTAACCCCCCCCCCGAAACAAAAGTAACTGTTACAACAACTTAAGACATGAGAACTCACTCACTGTCCGAGTAACTTAATAGTACTCCAGTGAAAAGTTTTAAACTTAC